TTTTTTTCCCAACATTCCCCCCCCTTGTCTTGGTAAAACTGAGGAATCTTCCTCAGCGGACTCTACAACCTGGTGCTTCTGCCGCAGCACCAGGAGATGAACCGAGTCTATTCTTTCTTGGACAAACCTCAGCAGTCTGTTTACTATACAGGGCCCAATCGTGACAAGCAAGAGAAGGATAATTAAGGGCCCTGCAACAGCGGAGAGAAGGGTTGACACCCAAGGAGTTTGATTAAGCCAAGAGCTGAACCACCCTTGACTGGCTTCTCTTTTTATCTTTTGTTTTTCTAATCCCTCTCGTATCTTTGTCATGTTATCTTTTATTATACCTGAATGGTCTCTGTAAAAATAATATTTCTCTTTCAGGGCAACACACAGTCTCTGGTCTGGGTGTCCTTCGGGGTCGGGTTGGGTGATGACTACCTTAACCTTGTCTATGGTATCTAGAGAAAGAGACCCCTGGTTGGGCCACCCTACCCCGAAAGTGTAACGTGACTTCAGCCAGGGATCCTATAGAGTCTTGTAGTTTGGTTATGGATTTTTTTATTTTTTGTAGATCTAAATCTAGGCTAGTGTGTAAAGCATTATATTGGTCCCTTTCTTGTATCAGGGCAGTGGCTCTAGTGCCAACTCCTGCTGCTATACCTGTACTAATTAAGGTTGTAAGTGTCACAGCTAAAAGCACTGGGGTCCTCTTAGAACGCATCGGGAAAGGAAGAGAGGGAGTGTAAGTCTGCAGAAACTCTTTCTCTGAGTGATAAACCAAATGGGGAAGAAGAATTGTAAGAACACAAAAACCTCCTTTCTTAAGAACATCCACCAAAATACAAGGGGTTAATCTTGAGGAGCATGTCCACCAAGTATTTGGAGGGGGAATAAGGAAGGCCCCTCTTGACTCAGAGAGATTCTTGGTCTGGTTACAGAGGGAAGAGTATTGTAGTGGAATCTCACCGAGGCATAGTCCCGATCCTGAAATCTGCTCCAAAGTAATTTTAGGTATCGTACCCCATGCACATTGGGAGACATTATGGGAAACGTTGTAGGAACCCATAGTAGCAATCCCCTCTAAATAGGGAGGGGTAACAGTATAGCAGAGCCAACAAGATCTGGCCAATTCAGGGCTAGTTACATTTAAGAGGCTATAAGTTTGATTTATGATTTTAACAAATTCCTGTGACCGCCTGTAATAGCGGATCTGAGACAAAGGCTTAGGAGGCCTTTTGGTAAATCCTGTAGGTAGAGTTGGGCCAGGAGGAGGAGAGGGAGGGGCTCCCTTGGGCGTATCCATGGTAACTCTTGGGACTAGCACTGGGTTGGGCCCTACTGCGGTGACGAAAGGCACCTGGCGTCTAGTGATTGTAAACAAAATTGCAGACCCATAGTTATGGAATCGCAGGCCCCATGTATTAACCCCTTCCCATCCGGAGAACTTTTTTCCTTTTTCTGTGAATCTGATTAGTAAAGGGTTGCAGGCTTGTGGTTCGAGCCCCCAAAGTTGGCTTACAAGGGGGCCTGTCACATCTCGTTTGAGGGTGATGTAGTCTTCACGGGCATTACTTAACCAGTATGTCTGACCCGTGGTTTCACAGCCCCATCGTGGGCAGTAGTACTGGTCTGGTCTCCCACAATTGGGCTTATACTGTGGCCCTGGGCAAACATAGAATTGTTTTTGTCTAAGGTAGCGAATTCTTGACTCAAACTTGTAATTGTATCCGTGGGAGGAGTCTTTCACATCTTGGGTAATCGCTGCCCATTCCTTTTTCAGGAAGGCTAGATCTGGTGTAAGCCTGGTGTGACTTTTTTTTTTTTGTTCCTTATCGGTTATCTGGTATGTACAAACAGGCCTACAAAACACATTGTAAAGCAACTGAGTCTGGGGTCCAGGGTCCAGGGTCCAGGAAGGAGGTTTATAACACTTTAATTTTTAACATTTCAACTAGGTTAATCATCCATGTGTGGTAGATACAAATCAAACAAAACAGACAAACTTAACAAATTTTAAGTTAGTGACAACCCAAGTAACTTGCACTGGTATGTGCGGGTTGGTCTTATCTGTAAAATGTCCACAGTTAGTTGTTAGATAATATATTACCAGCGGCATCTTCACCCATCTAGTCTGTGTGGAGAGCTTCATAAGGGAGTCTCAGTGGCGGCAGGGATGCTTGGCAAGTCCTGAGACAGCGCAGGGTAGAAATCCTCTCAAGTTTAACTTAGCCATATTTTTAGAGGGTTGTTTGGATCTTTTTATGTTTTTTACGTCTTTATGTCGAGCTCTGAGTCTTGGTGAGGTGATGTTTTACGAACATCTCAGCGCCTGGGCAGGACCGAGGTTCACTTCGTAGCTAGATGCTGGGAGTCACTCGGCCCTTACTGTGGTTACTGCACAGTCACTGGAGCACTGGAGAGTACCAGGGTGTGCGGGATAGCCTGTAACCCGCATCACTGAACAGCCGGTTGCAGGAGCTCGTCCTCAGCGCTTTCCTCCCTAACGATAGCCTTGATGGAACTAGGGTAGCCGCGATCTTAGAACCCTTGAGTGCTGTGACTGCCAGACCCAGGAGGCACTGTAGGATCTGTCTGATAGTTTTCCACAGATTTCAAAAGGTTTTCTTATTTGTAATTCTGTGTGGGTATGTGCACGTGAGTGCAGGAGCTCGCAGAGGCCGGAGGAGCTCGGGTCCTTTCTCTGTAAGAGCAGTTAAACGTGGGCCATCTCTCCAGTCCCCGATTTTCCTGTCATCATTGGTTTTCCTGAAACCATGCGTCCTACTCCTGCATGCCTTTTAACTTTATGGTTTTCTGGTGATACCAAGAGGGCAAGGAAGGTGTAATGTTCGTTAAGCCTCCCAGAAGGGCAACAACAAGGTTTGCCTTCTAGTAAAACAAGACCTTGAAACCAGTCTGTAATCTTCTTTGTTTTATGGGTAAGTTTTATGAATGTACATGCAGTCACCGTCAGTAATCAAATTGTATATTAGGGTGGTCAAGGATACAGACCTGATTTTGTTAGGCGTGGTTCTTACATTGTAAGCCTTAAAAGTGAAAATTGATGAAATTCTAATTTTAATTGTTCATATTTTTAGTGTGTTCAATTAGCTTTGACTCAGATCTGTGTCTGTACTTGAATGATTTAAGTTTGTTTCAAAGTGGCTTCTATGCATAGTGAACTGGACCCTCCAGCTAGTCAGCTAGGCAGGCAGAAAACCGCCAACCATCTAAGGCTAATGCTGACTGCAGCCAACCAGAGTGTTTCTTAATGTCATTGTCTTTTTCCCTGACTGTAAATATAGCTTTGACCTGTCTGTGTGCGGATCATGAGAAAGAGACTGAATCAGCTTTCATCTGGAGTTTTGCCTGGCCATAGAGCCTTTCATGTGTTGAAATATATTTAACTCATCTTGGGTTTTGGCATTTGAAATGCAACACACCTATCTCTATAGCGTATAGCTATTTTTGCTTTACAGTTATTGGAGTTGGGTAGTTATAAGTAACATGTGGCCTCAAGGTCTAAGCTGTTTAGCTCTTTGCACAAAAAAAAAATTTCCCATAACCCGAGGTACATGATTCACAAATAGATTTCTGGTGCTCAGTAGAAATAGATCAACAGGTAGGATACCTACGGTTTCTGTATTTTGTGGAGTAAAATCAGTTGAAATCTTATTGCTACTGGAATAAATTTATGTCTTTCTCAAAAGTATGCCTCCTCTAATTGACTAATTGAATAGCATTGTTGATATAGGATGCTAGGTTATCAATTGTGTTCATTTAGGTTAACAGCCAGAAGGATGTAGTATTTGGAGTTACTTTTTGTAGTTGTCTGAAATGTCTAAATTTAGAAGACACTGCTAATGAGCACATGGCTAATTACAGGATTGGACCAGTTTTTTTCCTGTTGTACTTAAAGAGTGTTTCTTCATTTAGTCACACATCTAAGCTTAGACAGTTTATAGTGATCATTGCCATCAGCCCTAACAGACTTATTTGACAGGTTGGTTCCCCTTTGTACCACCAGGTATTGGTGTTCCATGATGGGTCTTTACAGCCTGAGTTCCTTCCAAATTTACATGTCTAGAAACTTCAGGATGTTAATATTTGCAAACTAATGGTTTTTCTCATGGAATCTTAAAGTAGTGAGATATGGTATACACGTATATGTCATATCTTCACT